ATCACTTTCTTACCAAAATAGTCCTTGCTAATACTTTTACTTCTAAAACATTCTCCTTGAAAAAACGGAAGGCATTCAATAAATGGGCGATAGTAGGAGTCCATAAGAGCAGACAAAGCTCATAATATTTATTACAATAATCATAACTTAAACAAAATGTAAATGCGTGCACAAAGAATTTTACATTTCCTAAAGTATCATTTATTTTATTTATTTTAACAGATACACCATTGGCTTATCACTAGCCATTGTTAAATATAAAACAATTGGTTTTGTTCAAAATGATTTGTCTTTAAAGGTATATACAACATTCGCAAAAATAGCGCAGCTACAATAAGACAATTGTTAACTTACTTAACTAGACCAATATTATTAATAAAATTACAAGTAATTTGCTTACAATAAAACTAATGATAAACTTGAAGAAGACCGAAAGAGTTATAAATATTTATTACATAATTTAGCAAATTCTGATACGTTATCCGTATGGAAAATGTCGACATCGCCGTTGGTGGTTATGTCGTTATACGTTTGCATTAACCTATTTATTGGGGCTCGTTTACCTAATTTTGTTCTGTGGTTAGGTAAACAGAAGATTTTGGTAATCGGATATCTTGGTATAGATCTTGGAACTCTGATACTTATTTGATTTAACAGTGCCGGTGATAGTAGGAGGCCGTGAATTAGCTTATAAAGTGTTTTAAGATCGCTAAGTTGACGTCTTTTTTCGAGGACCTAATTTGAAGTGGGATAGCCTAGTATTATAGTCACCACGGTAAGGACAAGTTTGATCTTAAAAGGCTAAGTAGCGGGTAAAATTGCGCTAGATACGCTCTATTCGATCACTGTGAATTTGGTATGATGGGTTCCAAACAGGAGATGCATATTCTAGTGTACTACAAATAAGAGCTTTGTATATACTGAGAATAGATATAGGATTCCGCAAATTCTTACATATTTGCTTTACGAATCCTGCCATCTTCCATGCTTTGGATGCAATATTATCAATATGGATGTTGAAATTTAATTTTTTATCGATAATTACGCCAAGGTCATGGACTACTTCGGATTCTGTTAATTTTTCTCCGTCTACAAAATAACTGGAGCGAATAATGTTTTTCCTTCTGGTAATTTTTATAGACAGACATTATTTAGGATTTAGTAGCATTTTGTTACTTTTGCACCAATCTGAGATATAGGTGAGATCTGTCTGTAATTTAACTACATCATTTGGAGACTCTATAACGTTGTACGATTTTAAGTTATCTGCAAATATTGAGTATTTACTAAAGGTAATGTGAGCAGAAATATCATTTATAAATACCAAAAAGAGAACAGGGCCGATATGCGACCCCTGTGGAACGCCTGAAGTTGGGTAAAACAAAAAAGACTTGAAACCATGTGTTGTTACTCTTTGGATTCGGTTAAATAAGTAGGATTTTATCCAATTCAGCAGGTTTCCGTGAATATCATAATATTTTAATTTGGACAAGAAAATGGCGTGGTTAACTTTATCGAACGCGCAACTATCATCAAAAGATATTGTAAAATATTTTAAAACTATTGATATTAAGAAAACTGCAGATCTTTGGGGGATTTCCGTTAACGTAATTGACTCTATAATAGATACAATCGCGCCTCATCTAGCTATTATTTTTAATACTAGTATCGAATCTGGTGTGTTTCCTGATTTAATGAAGTAATACCTTTATTTAAATCTGATAGTACATTAGACCCCGCCAATTTTAGAGCTATTTCTGTACTGCCAATACTTAGTAATGTTTTTGAAAAAATTATTCTTGATCAGATGTAATTTTTTTTTTAATATGAATAATTTACTTCATAAAAATCTATTTGGTTTGACAAGGTGTCGCTCGTGGACTGATGCCAACTTTGAGCTAATTAAACATACCTTTAATGCATGGGAGAAATCACAGGATGCTTCGGGTATATTCTGTGACCTATCCAAGGCCTTCGATTGTATTCACCATGAAACATTAATCAGGAAACTTCAACACTACGATGTAAGAAGTGATGCTCTTAAATTAATTATTTCATATTCAAGTAACAGAACGCAAAATGTTGTCATTTATGAGCTCTTCTGGGTCGATGGTACAAATGAGCGTGCCTAAGGGCTCAATTCCCGACCGCTTTATGTTTCTTGTATATATTAATGACTTACCTTATATAGTAGGGGTAACCATGATATAGTATTATTTGCTGATGACACTTTACAATTGACAATTACTAAAACATGACGAAGTAAATAATGCTATATCTCAATTATTAAATTGGTTTAATATTAATAATTTGTCTTTAAATGGCTCTAAAACGAAATTTATGAATTCATGACTTCAAATGTCAAACATTTAAATACTAATGTGAGTTAAAATGGGGAGGAACTGAGTCGATATCACTATTTTTCTTGGAATCGTACCAGACGCGAAGCTTCAATGGGGCCCCCATATATCAAACTAGCAAGCAGACTTAGTTCAGCCGCATATGCTGTAAAAAAGATTAGAAATCTTATCAGTGTTGAAACAGCAAAACTAGTTTACTTTAGCTGTTTCCATAGTATAATATCGTAAGGTATTATGCTATGGCGACACGCGACTGACACTGAAATTATATTTGTTTTACAGAAGGGGGCCATAAGAGCAATTTATAATTGAACGTCTAAAGTGTCGCTGCGACAAAACTGCAGGAAATTAATATATTAACATTGGCCTTACAAGTACCTACACAAAAATAAAATAGGTTTTAAAAAAATAAGTGAAATACATTCTGTAAATACTAGGAACAGACACAATCTAGTAGCACCACATTTAAAAGTGGTAGAGCTTTTGCTGTCGCACGGATGGGCCGGCTCGAACCGGGGTGGTACCACGACCTCACAGAATACCAGCGTTAAGTAGAGGTTTACCTCTGCGTTTCGCTTGGTGAGTGCAGGTGGCTGGAGGCCCTTTTTACTGGAAATGAGGCATTCCATCTTAGTCCTCATGGGTGACAACGCGTCTGCATTTTGATTTGTAATAGAGGATATACCATCAGGTGGACTGTGTGCTCGTTTGTCACCCTTATCCTATAAAAAAAAACACCAGTTACTCGACTCCACCGAGTTGGTAATTAATTCTTGAGGCAACATATACGCTATTAAAACAAAATCCCAGAAAACATAGAAAATTTCACCTGCTCAAAGTTTAAAAATGTGTATAAATAGGATTATAATATTAAGGAATTTATGGATAATAATAACCCCTGGGAATAAAGTGATCGCTACCAAGCTATTTCTAATTAGTTTTGTCTTGTTAATTGTGTAACATACATGATCGTAAGCTGGTATTTTAAATAAAAAAGTCCCTCTAGGTTTCTTCTGGTTTCCCAGGATAGTTTATTTTCCGAACCAGTGGTAATTAAACACATATATTGTTTAAAAAATTTCTGTTTTTGTGATCGGATATAAAGACAGATGCTGGCAACTTGTTCCACTCTTGCTGTACACATGACGGACGATGAAGCAAACCGTTTACTTCGAATGCGTCGACAACGAAAGAGTGGAAACTGGTCGGGCGCCTAGTAATCCGATGGTGGAAGGGAGAGGGAGGAATTAGTATTATTAATCTATACAAAGTTTCATTGTTTGAACCAATTTTCGAAACACTTTATATAACTTGAATGCTGCTAATGCATCTTTTGGCGATGAAAACTATCCATTTCAGCTTTTTTTTTAAATTATTTTAAGGAATTCAAATTATGCATCACTTGAACACAATTTGTGGCGCTCTCTGCGGTCGCCATTTCGCCTAGGTCAAGGTCATTCTTTTGACTATTGATAGACATATCAAATTTAGTCTTGACAGAAAGTAACTTCTCGGCCTTATTGGATAAGATCAATAGGTTTTATAATCAAAGCGTTTTGGTGGACTTAACATGTCTTTAAAATATTTTTATTATCTTGGCATATCGATAACAAATTCAAACAGATCTACATCAAATTCGACTTAATCTAAGTGGCTCCACACAATCCCCCGATCATCCAACTCCAAACCCAAGCAAACTCATACGGTATGGTCTGTCACTCGGTCTAGGCAACACAATAGTAAAAAAATACAGTTACCGTTATCTTTACAACCTATTAAACCCACTGCTGAACTTAGACCATAGATTTTCTCATAGGGGCGATATTTTCCATAGTTGCCACGCTTGGCAAGTGGGTTGACAACCGCAGATTTTTTTAGACATTATTAGGAATAATCTGCTACCTATCTCCTAAATTTGTTTCCCTCTGTCGCCTCTTATGACACCCACGGGATGTAGTGGATTTTTTTTATAGGTTAAGGCTTACTTTATTGTAATACAACATTCTAATGTAGACGAGGCGCTTTATACGGATTAATAACTTAATGACACTCCTTAGGTATCATGTTGTCGATAAACGATCGGTCGAACCAATGCACATAAACTTCTTTACACATTGAGTATTTTTAGGTTTGTTGAAGGGTTATTGGATGTTTTTTTTTAATATTCTACTAAGCTAGCGCTTATCTACGATCCCACCTGATGGTAAGTGGTGATGTAGCCTAAGATGGAAGCCTTGAAGACACCTACACTGTAATTGGATGGAAAGACAGATGCTGGCAACTTATTCCACTCCGGGTGGTGCTGGCTTAATCAAGTTTTCCGTCGTGATGTAAGGTTTAGCTATAATTTGAAGTGGCATTAATTACCCATTGTACCTGAATTAAAAATTGTTTTGTACGATTCTCAGAAAGGCCGCGCCGCGCCATGATACTGCATATAACATTCAAATTATTACCCAAACCCACACACACGCACACGCACACACATACGCATACGTTTAACCGGATTTTATACTAGATTAAAAAATACACCTTTTAAGATTTTAATTTTATTAAAAAATACAAAACATAACTATTATTTCTTTTATACACTATTTGCTTACATTGAGAATTTCGTTCTTACAGTAGATTTTTTAAATGTTAATCAGAAAATGTTTTCGCCAACTTATCTACTAATATCCGTGTTCTCTCTGATAAATATTGATCAATTTGTCCAAGTACCTTAACAACGTGCAGCATCTTCTGTACGCCTTTTTTAAACATCTCCATTCTCTCAGCACTCGATGCCTCTTTATCATTGTCTTGTTTAAATAAAGAAAACGACATCGGTGCCCCCACTGATGGGGCTGATATAGGTTCGCGTAATGAAGGTTTCAATTTTGGAACGCTTATTTTTGGAATTTTTAATTTAGGTACCTTCAATCTGTGTGAACCTAATCTTGGTACGAAGCCCTTTGGCGGTGACATTGCAACTGGTATCTGAGAGTCAGCGTACCCAGCTTGATCATAATCTGGTTCAATTAAAACAAATCTTCCATTTTTTACCGCTTTGGGGATAGCTCGATGGATCATACTGCAGAATGAATCAACGTCGAAATTCGAAGTGTCGAATGAGTCGGAGGATGATGCCCTTCCCATTGGTAAATACCCCTGAAATGTTAATAGTATACCTTTGAGAAACTTGATATTCAGTGTATTGTTAAAATCGCTTTAGAAGTAAGTAAATTTTTAATTTTTAATATAATTCGTGACTAATACAACGCTGTTCTAAAAAAAAAACAAGCACCTTAGGATGTGCATACTCTCTCTGAATGCTTATTCTTTTAATCACTCGACTGTGGTGCCTTCTGTACTGCCATATATCAGAGGTATCGCGGACAAGATTGGCCACATCTTGAAGCGTGCTTCCATTAAAACTTCAAGCCGCCGAAGAAGATTAGTCAGTTTTTACCATCAGTCAAGTGTAATGTCTTTCTGCAAGATGTATGAGTGTACAAGCTTAGTTATGAATTTGGTTACTCTTATATAGGACAAACTAAAAGATCAATAAAAACTCGCATCAAAGAACACATAGCTGATGTGAAGAATAGACCCTCGGGAAGTCTGCAGTCTGTGAACACGTCCAGGATCGCCCACGTCACTATCGACCACAAATCCTCACTACAGATCACCGATTCCTTCCAAAGATGATTTGTGAGGCAAAAAAAATCAAAAAACATCCTAATTTCAATAGATAACATGGCTGGGTGTTACCACGTGCTTAGTCGTATAATTAATAAAATTTAATTCTAACCCAACTATACAACTGCAAGACTTCAAGATACTATAAGTTCATACTGCGTAGATCGGAAAAAAAATTAATAATTTTAATCTAGAGGTAGCCGTGGTTAACTATGACATTGGGGTGTCAAACAGCTCAGTCCCCCCCCCCTGATCATGGGTGTGCTCAAAACGTCGGGAATATAAAATAAGTAAATATACATACACGATAAATCCGTGAAAACTAGTTTTATTCAAACGTGTAGTGTCCGCGTAAAAATAAGAAATCATTATATCAAATGTTGTTGTACAAATTGCTTCATAATATCATCGACTCTCCCCTACATTTAAGCATAGTGAATCTTGCGCGTCACAGGTTCGGTGCACGAAATAAACCTCTTTTTGCATTACGTAGAGTTAAAACAAAGTATGCCTCAAATAATTTTATATCTCTTACATGTAAAAAATTTAACTTAAAATATTGTGATTTAGATATCTTTTACCTGAAATATAATAGTTACAAAAAATATTGTAAAACTTAATTTATAATTAGTAGTAGTAGGGAGTTTCACTATAGGTTCATCATCATCATTACAGCCCTTCACAAGTCCACTGCTGAACATAGGCCTGCCCCAAGGAATGCCACAAAACACGGCCCTGAGCCACCTGCAACCATCGACTTCCTGCATGTCTTACCAGGTCGTCACTCCATCTAGTGAGGGGACGCCCTACACTTCGTTCGCCGGTACGAGGCTGCCACTCGAGAACCTATTTTCACTATAGGTTATATATAGAATATTAATTTTAACTACTGTAACTGCTTAGTACTTAATATTTAAATTATAAATACCATTCACTTATTTTTCTCCTTTTATATTTTTATATTTTTTTAAATTTTTACACATACATATATACACAACATAATATTGTCGTGGCAAGCTTTTATTATGTATTAGATATCTGTGGAAACTTCATTGATTTTTAGGATTACTTTTATGTTTTACAATGTAATTTATTATTCTACTGTATGTTTCCCTTAAAAAGCAAATAAATAAATAAAATAAATTATTACTTTATTTCGTGTTGTGAGTGTCGTAATAGGCGACTATGAAAAAGGCCAGAAAGACCAAAAGAAGTTTTATAGTAAGGTAAAAATAGACGAGAGACCGACGGAGAGCACGTTAAAGTTGTGATTTGTGTTGTCTTGTACTAGCATGGCAATTCACCTAAGCATGCAGTTACTAATACTAGGTGGTAGGACTCCCTTTCTATGTATAAGTCAGTCTGGGTAGGTACTCCCCCCCCTTTACCTATTTTGCCACCAATTAAGAGTGTTTGCACTGCTGTATTCCGATCTGAAGGAGAGCCTATAGTCTCCTTTGTTTGAGTTGCCTGCAGGTGTTTCTGAATTGCAGCAGTCACTTACGATTAGGTGGACTGATCATTTTCACTTCAGTTTATAAAAATAACAATTCCTAATCCTATCTGTTAAACAAAAGCAAATCTTAAACTAGCATTCATCTCGTGAGTTAAGTATTTTGCCTTTTTGTCTGTTTTAGTTTTCACATGTTCCATATCTAATGCAATGCTGACGTAAACTCCAAATATCCTCTGCTGGACTTTATTAAATGATATAGCCCCCCCCCCCCCCCCGTAAGATTATATGTAAGAGTTTTTTTATAGAATAAGGGTGACAAACGAGCACACAGTCCACCTGACGGTAAGTGGATGCTGTGGACCATAGACATGTGCATTTTTGCTCGATTAAGAATCAAAATGCACATGCGTTTACCACCCCATTACCAGTAAAAAGAGTATCCGGCTCTCTACACTCAAAATACGAAGTAAACACAGCAGCATTAATCTACTATTTTACGCTGGTATTCTGTGAGAACGTGATACTACCCCGGTCGAGTTGACCTATTCGTGATTCAACCATAACATAGTTGCAGTGTGGCTCTACTAGAGACCGTGCTTTATACATACAGTCTTTGTGGTCGTTGCTTTGTGTTAGAAGTGGTTCACGACAGTAGTCGAATGCCGTAATTGAACTAATAACCTATAATTGTTTTATGACAATCCCCCCCCCCCCGTCCTTTTCACAGATGGTCACACGTCACCCCTCCCCCTGATGTGTCACATATTTGTTTTAATATTTTAACATGTGACGTCACATAGCTTTTAATCCCTGCCCCCCTGTCCCTTGTCACACAATGTCACATGTTGTTACTGCCCCCCCCCCTCCCCCATTAACGTGTGATGTAATTAATGTATAGCCCCTAAGGAAGTAACAGTCGCTATGAAGAAAATACCGGGTCTTACCTTCAAAATGAGGTACAGAAGTGGGTACAATGCTATTTACGTACAAAACGGTAAAGTTCAAAACCAGACCAACATAAGTAGGAAAGAATTCCCACGACTAAGTAAACGAATTTCAATAGATAAAATGAAGCAAATGCTACCCTATATCTATTGAAAATATACTTTGTTGGCTACATTATGTTTGCTGTGTGTGTGGCACATTCAGTGACACAACCTTTCCGCAAATTGTAAGTAATCGGACCACTTCGGTTTAAATTTCTTTAGTATTTTGTGTTACATCGTAACGAAAGTGCTTTTTAGGGTTCCGTAGTTAAACAACAAGGAACTTATAGGTTTTCCTTATAGTCTATAGCGATATTACTCAAAGATCCTAGGTGCTACAAATCTGTATTTTGGCATAATTATAGATATTAATCACGCCTACAAAACTTTTAATTTGGGTGCCTCTAATACAGGTAAAGGAAGGATGATGTTTTTTACCTGCCTATTCCATCGTATGGGGTGCCTTTGGATAGATCTCTCAAAAATATTGGAAGTATGGAACAAACTTTTTTGATTCGGGGGATCGGTTTACAAAATATTCGGTTTTAAAGTGGTAATTGTTATTTTTTCTTTTTTGAAAACGAGGCATTTCATCTTAGTCCTCATGGGTGAGAACGCATCTGAATTTCGATTTTTGGTCGAGGATAGATGTAGATGTCTATAGGCTACAGCATACACTTACCATCAGGTGGACTGTGTAGGAACTAATTTGTAACCCTTAGGCTACGTTTCGACCAGAGATGTGCGAGGTAGCTAGGCGGTGCGAGGATGTGTAGCGAAGCTGTGGAACGGTGTGAGCATTTCCATCAGAGATGTGCTAGGCCGCAGAGCGGTATGAGGATGCGTAGCATAGTATAGAACACATCCCCCGCAACACATCCCTCGCAACACATCCTTCGCACACATTCTTCTCTTGTTTTGTATGTACAAAAACCTCGCTCCGCTGAGCCATTTCCACTAGAGCTGCGTTGAGCGAGGCTAGGCAAATGAATTTATTCTATTGGTTCTTACTCGTAACAAACACATCCCTCGCTACGCATTCCCACGCATTTCTGGTGGAAACGCAGCCTTATTCTATAAAAATCATCATAATTTGAAATCATTATATGTCACTTACCTCTTCATTAGATCCACAATCGATTGTCAAACGCAAAGGTGGCGGCGCGCATTCGTGAAAACGCTCCATCTGTAACGCACACAAAAACAACACATATGTATAAACACGGGCACGACACAGGTTACAAGTAAAATTAGTATTCGAATTTTAAACTTAGAAAATTTTCGATAAATTTACAAGGTTTAGATCAAATTCGATATCAAATTTCACGAGATACCAACCACAAGTAACGTTGCTATTACCGTCACGTACCGAGGCATGCTCGCAGTTCTGTGCCCAACGCATTGTGCGATATTGAACAAGACTGACGATCATCACGTATCAATAATTTTTGATTGAAACTACCGAATCAGCACTTCACGGCAAACCACGAACGCTAACACTGTCCGCAAGGTTGCTAATTGAATATCAGACAATGAGAATCAGTCGTTGCTTATCTACCATACGTGATTGAGTATTTTTGTTTAAGTTATTAGAAACGTTGACATTCATTGAGTATGCAGTGGTTAGCCAGCGGCTGTTACGCGGGAAGTTTGTTCTTGTATCTCGTTGTAAAATTTTATTACGAAAATGAAATTAAGAAATCGCATCGTCTGCATTCTTTTGGTGGTGGCCGTTGTGACGCTTGCGGAGGTTTGTTTTTAATATTATTTACATTTTATTCAATCACTCAACGTCCAATACTTTAGAAAGATATTTCAAAGTAGCAAAGTAAGAGATCATTGCTGCTGTCAATTATAAGTCTCATTCAATGACTGTCAAACAGAACGGTTCTACGAGCGAAGCAACAAGGTGAATTAATTATTTAGTTCATCGCTTGGTAGAGCCACGATGCCGCTATATATTGGTTGTAGCAGGAATGGGTCGCCTCAACCGGGGAAGGGCCTGCTTTCACATAAAATCAGCGTAAAATAGCAATATAACCCTGCTGTCTGTCGTATGGTGTGTGTACTCTTTATACTGGAAACGCGGCATTCCATCTTAGTCCTCAGGGATGATAACGCATCTGAATTTTGATTCTTAATCGAAGATAGATGTCTATGGGCCACAACAGTCATATACCCATCAAGTAGACAGTGTGCTCATTTGTAATCCTATCTTTATATATATTTCTTGTCAGTGTGTATGTGTCTGAACTACTCCTAAACGACTGGACCGATTTAGAAAAAAAATTGTGTGTGATTCGAGAATGTTTAAATTCAAAGTTGAAGCCGGTAGATGGCACTGTTGTCGATATCCAGAAATCACCCTTGCGAAGGCGGGGAGGATTGCTAATATCTATTATTTAAATAGTTATTAATAGTGCTCGTGCGGTCTAACACAAGTTAGACCTTCGGTTTTATTTTATCATAATGATGATTTTTAAGAAGAATCTTACCGCTGCAGGGGTTTAAATCCCATTTATAATAAGTACTTATGGCCTAAAATAATTTTTCCGGAATCTCGGTTTTTTTTATAGAACAAGGGTAACAAACGAGCACACAGTCCACCTGATGGTAAGTGAATGCTGTGGCCCATAGACATTTACACTTATCCTCAATTAAGAATCAAAATACAGATGCGTTGTTACCCCTGAGGACTGAGATGGAATACCTCGTTTCCAGTAAAAAGGGTCTCCGGTTATCTAAGCTCACCATACGAAACACAGCAGCATTAAACTGCTATTTTGTACATGTATTCTGTGAGAGCGTGGTCATACCCCGGTCAAGCCGACCCATTTATCATGTCAGCTCAGCTATGGCTCTACCACGTAAATCAGTCGGTAAATAATTATGGAAGTCTCCTGTTTCATATTCCCAAGTGTATATGAATATAAATATGAAGATTATATGACTACTATATCGCGAGTTCGGGTTTCTAATGTTAGTTGGATTCACCTATACATTAGTTGAAAATATTCTTCTTTAATTTGTAACCGTGACTATTGTCTGATGGTAAGTGGTGACGCAGCCGAAGCTGGTAAAAAGCACTGACTTAGCTTGAAAAAAGCAATTTCACTCTTGCCTTGAAGACACTCATTTATTTATGATTACTCACATCACAGCTTTGCAATTTTACGCCTGGCGTAAACCAGATGTTTTATACCGAAATCTATCGGAAAATTAAAATTACAGCACACTTAAATAGTAACTTATCATGATACATATACAAGAAAAGTACAAAATGGTGAACGCAAACAAAGAGATGATGAGATGTTACAACAAAACCAATATTTTGTCCCATAGCCATGGTGCAGTAGGTATACAAATAACATGGGTAGTGTCAACCGTTTCAAAAAATATTTCAAAATAGTTTTCTAATTTAACAGCATGCAGGTTGCCCCACAATATTTTCCTACACCAACGAGCAGGTGGTAAAACAGCTCCCCCCCCCCCCCCCCCGAACGGGTTCCCGCCTTGTCGTGGCTTAGTAGCCGTGGCTTGGTCACCCACGGTGAACAAAGAGGAACCCCTTGGCTGGCCCGTGGTGTAGGGCCGGCCCGAGGTGGCCACTCCGAGTGGGCTTGGCGAGCCCACTTCGGATGTGTGTCGGTGGACTGCGGTGAGAGGGGTGTCGGCTCCCCCTACCGCTGCAGCCGAGGTGGAGTCGCAGAGGAAGAGGAGTGTTGGTATGGCGATGCGTCACTCGCCCTATCCTCCGCGACTCAGACGGGGCCGCACCGTTAATTGATGCGGTGGTGGTGGTGCTGCGGGGGGAGAGGAGTGCCGGTATTGCGAGGCGCCGCTCTCGCTACCCTCCGCAGCCGAATCTTGGTTGGCGGCGGAGCCATAGACCAGATCCGCCGCTGGGGTCAGGAAGGCTGGTGCTTCTGAGTGCTAGTTTTTCCTGGCCCCATGGCCTTCGCGCATCGGATACGGGGGTGTCCGTTTCGCATGTGAAATTGGAGGCCGAGGAGGAGGGCGTGCCATGTGTTCTGGTGCGCCTTACCTGAGGAGGAGATGGGGGAGGAGTGGTCCTCACCCGAGGAGCGGCTGCCATGGGGTGGCCAGCGCAGGTGGGGCCGCGGAAGTGTGCGAAAGCGTTCCCGTGGCCCTGCCAATATGCGACGAGGGTGGTGGATCCCGTTAAGTACGTTATCAAGATCATTATTCAAATGTATAGAAATAACTTTGTTTTTTAATATTTTTTTTAATTTATTTAAAAAAAAATTGTATGGAAATTGTATGTGGTTTTATTACCTCAGCGTTGTCTGGGGAGTAAGAGGATTGTCAAAGACCCCGCTTTACTTAGCTCTAGCATCGGCTGGTATGAGTAAGTGGTAATAAAACCACATAAAATTTAAAAAAAAATATTAATAATATAAAAAAATATGGTCGAGTTTAAAAAAAAAGTTATTTCTATAGGTTTGAATACTGATCCTGATAACGTACTTAACGGGAACCACAGGGTTTTTGTTACATGTTGTATATGTAAGATAAATAGAAGTAAAATAAATAGAACACCTGTGACACATATTAGGTATGTAGTGTATCCTTAATTCAGAATTAAGACGCAGATTCGTTGTCACCCTTGAAGACTAAGGTGGACTGATTAATTAGTAGTTAAAATAATTGCCGATTATTGTCGCTTACCATACAAAACAACAACTTAAAGCTGATATTTGAGACTGGTATTCTACGTGAGCGTGGTCCTTCCCAGTCGAGTTGACCCATTCAGCTTACAGCGTAAAGTGGTTGCAGCGCGGCTCTATCTCGTAAAAAAGATAATTATTCAAGAACAGTAAGAAGAGACTATCTGCTACTAGGGTTTTAAGTAAATAAACGGTATTTTGTCATCATGTTTAGTTAACTTAATAAAAAGGGAGGTACTCAATATGACTGTACAATTTTTTCGTTTATTTTTTATTATATTTTTTGTATGTTTTTTTATTGAAACAAAATATACAGCTTGTACATTTACCAATACAAACATGTTTCGGATATATTATGTTAAATAGAATCCTTTACAGATTTACACATTTTTGCGAAAATTTCAAATGTTTTTTTGTCTTTAGCAGCTTTACGCGATATCTTCGTCTATCGTGAACTGATTTTGGTGATTATTTTTCATTAAATACATTATGCTTCATATAATTTTTTATTCCATATAATATTTTTCCGATTTGATTTTGAACCGATGTTGATGTTTCATGAAGGCCCCATATAAATTTGATCGAGATCTGACCAGTAGTTTTTGAGTTATCCTTAATAATGCTTATTTAATTGACTTCGACTACATTGATTATGTTCTCATTTTATTTATATTGAAGTCGGTTGTACAAAATTTTTAATTTTACCGCTTGTCTTATACAATTTCAGGGCAGTTTGCTAGAGAGGCAATCACTTCTAAGGCCAAACGGAATGGAACCATGCTTCACCTGCCGGGCCGAGGACAAGCCCTGGTCCTACTCCCTCCTCACGTTCTTCGGGAAGCTGAAGAATATGTTGGTCCGCGCTGTCAACGTCATTGCGGCTAGCACCAAGCAACAGAAAATAACTTAGGATTTAATTGTAAATAAAAATGCCTATAGTTTAATTTTATTTAAATGAAAATAGTTTTAAAATTTAGTTTGTAAGAATTTGTGCATATTAAGATTAATTAAATGGTTTTCTTGACTTAATAATAGAAATATTTGTACAAAGCTAATAAAAATTTGATTAATTTTACGTGCAGGTTGTGTAAGGACGTAAAAAAAATCTAACAGTCTACGTACATCATGTAAAAGTACCCCAACATGAATTCTAATACAAGACATTACAAATCAAACTGTTAGCGTATGTAGCGCTCTAAATTTATTGTACCGTCTTCATAGAGTGTAAATTAGACTTATTTATTATGTATGTGAATGACTTCTTATGCACAGCCCTGAACGCCTTGAACTATACCCGTGACTCGCAAACAGTCTGATGTAAATTTTTACTAAATAAAAGTTTGTCTTAAATTACGCGTTTGTTGAACCTCCATGAACACTACACATATTATATTAAATGTTAACTAATTCTATTGTAGACTGTTTATTATGTAGTAGAATTTAACACTTTGTGTGTACATAAAAAGTACAATAAAGTAAAATACATAAGTAAAATAATTTTATACAAATCAAATATTTTTTAATTTATCATCAACAACCCTTGAGCAGTGCACTGCTTGACTTTTTGATAGGAGAGGGGGCAAGCAAGCGTACGGCTCACCTGATGGTAAGTGACTACCGCCACCCATGAACAACTGCAACACCAAGGGAATTGCAGGTGCGTTGCCGGCCTTTTAAAAAAGAGTAAGCTCTTTTCTTGAAGGTCCCTAAGGCGTTTCGGTCCGGAAAAATCGCCGGTGGTAAACTATACAGTAACAGGCATAAGTCTCCCTACTGTTCACAAGGCTCGTCTTAATTCTGAGAGGGTTTTAGGGCAAGGAAAAGTCCGCCGGACTGCCCCAATTCGTGTTCACGGACTTCCCATGTTTTCGATTTTTTTTCTTATTCCTCAGATATACAGGTTTCCTCACGATGTTCTCCTTCACCGCCGAGCATGTACTAAATCAGCACTTAAGCCTGGACGTAATTTATAGCGAGCGCTTAGACCCAGAGCTACTAATAGTAATACGACACAAATAAATACGATTCAACAAATATAATAAAACCTCTTACGTACTTAAAACTTAAACAATTGATAGCTCGTGATGCCTACCAAACGAAGCTAAAGCACCACACCCTGCAATGTAATTGAAGATCCGTAACCGCGACATAACTTTCAGTGACGCGCAAGCATAATAGGCAGTATATCACTTATATAATTATCACCTCTGCAGTATATTAGTCTGTGCACTTTTCTAAATAACACAATAAGTAGTCGCTAGTCAATGTTGACGTCGGCTAAAATCTCTGCGTTCGCCGTTTTGTCAAGTTCATTCAGGCTACTTAAAGTCTTAAAGTTAAAAGTAAAGTTGCAGCCTATTTACGTCCCACTGCTGGGCACAGGCCTCCTCTCATTTCTGAGAGGGTTTTAGGGCAAGGAAATGTCCGCCGCGGTGCCGTTCGTGTGAAGTTCGCGAACTTCACATGTCTCCGAAATAATTTTTTTTCTCAGACATGCAGGTTTCCTCACGATGTTTTTCCTTCACCGCCGAGCACGTGGTAAATCAGCACTTAAAATTTCAATTAACAATTTCATTGGTGCCGGCGGGGATCGAACCCGGGTTGCTCGAGTACTGTGAATCTTACAGCGAGCGCGTACCATCTGAGCTACCACGGCTCTTAATAGAAAATATTACCCCATACCATTACGTGGGCCTCGTAGGAAACAATAAATGGAAACTGAAATAGGATTGTAGCACAAATAATAAAAAAACTACGGTTGCCAATCTGTCTGCGAAGGTTCTACCATTAAAATAAATATTTTATAAACATTCCTATTAAAAAAAAAACAATAAAAGTAAAATTTTATAAAGAATATTTCATTTGTATAAATAATTATTAAGCATTAATTATAATGTAGTAAACTAACTAAAATAGTAAAGTAAATACAATACTTATTCATTTAATATGAAACTAGCTGGCCATCGAAGTGAAGGGATTAAATAAATAATAAATCATTATCGCAATCAAACATACTATAAATAAAACAATGAAATTAAAATTGAGTTTAATATATTTAATTTCTATAAATAACAAATAAGCAATCAAGAGTGAATTTCACTTTGATGGGATTAAATAAATAAATTAATTATTATCACAATTAATCATCCTATAAATAAATCAATGAAGTTAAAATTAAGTATAATATTTGTGTAAATAATAAATAAGCATTCAAGAATAAATTTCACTTTTTGGGGATTATTTAAATAAAAAAAAATCATTATCACAATTAATCATCCTATAAACAAAACTATGGCATGAAAATAAGTTATCATATATTTAATTTGTATAAATAATAAAATTAGCATTCAAGAGTGAATTTCACTTTGAGGGAATACAATAAAAATAACAAATTATCCGATCAGAATTGACTCTACGTTGACTCCATAAAATATAAAATTTATTAATAATTTGACCACATCTATCGGGTCCACATTTCGTGAATTTTTTGGCACTGAAGCAACATTTATTGTGTATTTTGATCTTTTTGGTTTTCATAAATAAGTTACTTTACTTAATTTATTTTACTGACTATGACAATCCCATATTGATCTGGGACTTATGGTGCATATAAACAAATATATATGACTTGTAACATGCAAGTCATAAGAAGCAACTATATTGGATGTTGGTGTGACTTCTTTTCCATTTATACCCATATATTTTCGCCTTTCCTCTCGGGGATTTCAGGAGTGATGCTATTCTTACTTGACATATCAGATGAGTAGCGTACAATGCTAAAGTTAAGCACTTTAGCATTATACGCTACTCATCTGATCCTACCATAGCCATGAGCCATCGTTTTAACAAAACAAATATTAGTTCAGGAGTAACACGATAACTAAATTAACAGTGGGAGAGCCACGCGGCAGCTTTTGCTGTCGCACGGATGGGCCGGCTCGAACCGGGGTGGTACCACGACCCCACAGAAGACCAGCGTGAAGTAGAGGTTTACCTCTGCGTTTCGTTTGGTGAGTGCAGGTGGCCGGAGGCCCTTTTTACTGGAAATGAGGCATTCCATCTTAGTCCTCACGGGTGACAACGTATCTGCATTTTGATTCGCAAACGAGGATAGATGTAGATGTCTATGGGCCGCAGCAACCACTTACCATCACGTGGACTGTGTGCTCGTTTGTCACCCTTATCCTATAAAAAAAAACTATTTTTTTAACTTTTTTTAAACGTAACCTCCACACTAGGATATTCTTCTGTATCGTGGGGGCAGTTTACAAACATAAATTGCACACGGACAAACATCTAGACCCGGAACAATTTTAATTGTATGCCATACAAATACTCGTTTCGTGCGGGATTCGATTCGCTCTTAGCGCTGCTACTCAATTGCTAAGCCACTACGCCACGGAGCCGTAACTGACAGAACCACCAACGACTATACATACATAAAGATACAAATAGAAAGGGACTGGTATATAGATAATTAATACCTAATTTAAGAAAACGATAACACAATTATAAGAAATTTCCCTGTTCCTATATTAAACAAAAAATGTTATTCTGTCATGAACTATGCCCGCGTTACAGTTATAAGATAATGAAGCCTCACAATAACTACGCAAAACCTAATTGTCATCAGAAATCCATATTATGTTTCCTTGATTTTATTATTGAGTACTTAACCGTGATGTTTAAAATATGATGTCATGATAACCATGATGTATATATTTATATATATATAAAAATTACGTGTGACATTGATGTAATGATAATTATGATGTATACCTTTTTGTATAAACATTACGCGTCACATTGTTTGTCCGCAATGAATTCCTAAACTACTGTACTGATTTCAATGAAATTTTGCACACTGTGTGCAGTTTTGTCCAACTTGAGAGATAGGATAGTTTTTATCCCTATAAGTAATCCTCAATATTTTTTTATTACGAATTTAAGATTTTTTATAGGACACAGTGTCGTCGGAAAGGGCAGAACAACGTCTGCCTGGCCAGCTAGTTTATATATAAAAATTACGTGTCACATTGTTTGTCCGCGATAAACTCCTAAAACACTGGAATGATTTCATTGAAATTTTGCACACTGTAGTTTTGTCCCACTTGAGAGATATGATAGTTTTTATCCCGATAAGTAACCCTCAATATTTTTTATTGCAAATTTAAGGTTTTATTATAGGACAAATGGTCCTCGGAAAGGTCTGAACATCGTCTGCCTGGGCAGCTAGTGTTACATATGTATATATTATAAATTATCTTAGTAAAAGTTTTCTAAATCGTATAAACTGTTCAGTTGTCAATGCTCCGTTCCTTTTCAATTTGAGTAGGTTCTCCAATATTCTTCTATTTCGTTTTGGTTTTGATAAAAGTGAACTTTTTCCTAATATTGGAACTTTTAAAGGACTGAGCGATCTTTTCAATTTATTCAAAGACAACGGAAGTAACGGTGGAGGCAGGATAGGTAACTTTGGGATAATAGGCGGAATTAATAAAGGTGGCAGTAGAGGCAGCCTTGGCAATAGTAAAGACCTTCGTCTCCTTGGTGGTCTTGTAGAAATTGATTTTTTACTTCTTAACAATGCCGAATTAGACCATTTAGAAACACCTGCAGAAGGGCATATATTGGCATCTCTAGCCCTTGCATCGAGTTTTAAATTAAAAGGTAATCGACGCATGCAACTTTTTGCCACTTTTGAATCATAATGAGCGCCACGTGCCAATCCTATCTGTAAAAAATAAAGAAATATTTATCTTCTAACATATTTAATGACTTCGTACCACCAACATCCTTTTTAAGTTTAGACAAAGGTATTTCTTATAGTATAGTATATGAATTGACAAACATTCTTAAAAATTTTACTGCACTCACACCACGCATCAACGAAGACCGTTCGTCTCCACAGTCTGTGAAACTTCGTTTTGGACCTTCTGGGTAATTTTTGAGTCACCAGTTTCTAGAAGCTAGTCTGTCAATAAGTTTTTTTTTATTAAATTAATGTAACGATTTACAGTCCATTTGATAGTAAATGGCTTCTGTAACCGATATACAGCTGCAACCTACATAAGAAACAAGGCTACAGTTGTGTTGTCACTGCTGAAGACTAAGATGGAATGTCTAACTAACAGAATACAGTTGTGCACGCTCTACTGCTTGGTGGCAGAAGTAGGTAAGAGTGTGGCCCCTACATTTTGACAGGAAAGGAATTAATACCAATATTAATAATAGACAACATGTAACAAAAACCCTGTGTTTCTCGTATAATAACTTTGCTTCAGAAAACTCGACTATATAACATTAAATTTATTGTTAAAGAAACTTTATTTTTTCAAAAGAAATACATAATTTCACTTCATGAGGAACTTAAAAGAAAAATGTTTACCAAGCATCGATATATGTGTACTACGCACTAGATTTCGCATTCCGTACAAACAAAATGTTGTGTAAATTGAAGATTTGTGAATTCCTTAAGATAATTATTATTACATTTTATGTTATTTATGTTTGTTTAGATGAAAATAAGATATTTTATATTAAATTCTTATATTTATTTTATATTAATATCTTATTTTATATCAATTAAAGTCTTCGCGCATGCGCGACTACTACTCCCGCGCATGCGCGAAGACATAGAGTACGACACAATTTTTGTTTGGAATGGCTTCTCTAGTACGTAGTACATATAACTTAATGTTAACAATATTTTTAGGTCGATGAACACAAACATAAGTGATAAACATAATATACATAATAACGACTAATTCTAGGGTACACTATACAATGTAACACCTAATATCATGTGGGTTGAAATAAAAATAATGTACATTATACCAGGGTCGCATTCAGATACATTAAATTAATTTAACATTTTTGATTACATAATATTCTTTTAGTTTGTTTACTGGTCATTTTATGTATCTAAAAGTAATTTATTACAAATCCGTGCTCCCCAATATCTTAAAATTTAATTAAAATAAATTTTTATTTTCAAACTGTATGTAATTTTTTTTCCTCCGCAACCAGGGGAGTAAGAGTATTGTAAATGACGTCGCTTTACAGATGCACGTGTCAGCTAGAGTCATCAAACAAGATACAATTTACAAATAAAAATTTAATTTATTTAAATCTATTTTTTTATGTGAAACTTTCAGAAGTAATATTATTTCTATACATTTTAACACTGGTTCTGGTAACGCAGTTAATGGGAACCACACGGTTTTTGTTACATGTCTTATATGGAATATTCCTACATACACGGACCCTTAATATAAGATGTAGTTATATTGAAAATAATATCAAAACACTTACAGAAATCAATGAACACACAGCGATACACTTTAACATCGTTACGGTTAAAACAACCATTTCATATTTTGACTCTAACGACTTAAACCCAAACATCAACAATGGTACCCTTTATATGCAGCAGTTTTACGAAATGACAATTGAAGTCTTATCATCAATACATATCTGATTAAACACGTTCTCAATAAACAATTAAATTAACCATTTTTTGATAAAATCGTTTTAAATTGCATTGTAATTTGTCAAAGCCAGAGATAATATAATATGCATAATTTTATTAGTAGTAATCTTAATTCATATCTTCTTCTCGATATTTCTATGAACCAGAAGCTATCAAAGAAAATAAAATTATAGTATTGCCTCCATAACTTTGTCAGATATGAGACTTTGAATAAGACAAGCAAAAGTTAACAATTCTTTATTAATAATTCTTAACATCTTTATTAGCTGTTTAAAATCTAACTAAATGTAGCTTAGTGTTGTTATTAAACATATAAATACACATGTTTTTGTATGTATTGAAAATCAGTAGTAGCACTTAGATCCCTTGAACCAGAAATACTTATTTATTTACATTTAATAAAATTTGATACAATAGTATCAAATACCCTAATAAAAAGGATTAGGTTCAAAGGGCGAATTTAATTCTTTTTCGCATTCTCTCTTAGTCAACCCGGGACGTGTGGAAATAATGGGCAAAACAAAATAAAAACAACATTACAGTAAAACAGCAACACAACAGCGATATAATGTACAAATGCAATACATATAAAACCGATATACAATATAGGTACTATTAAAACGTTATTGGATTATTATATACAATATTAAAAACTATAATTTTAATAAAAAACTAACTAGAAACTTAATTATCATATAGCCCTACTCCCCGCGGTATCGTGCCAACAACGCTCACTGCGTTTCCCCGCTGAATGGCTATACTTAGCCTTTGAGCGAGAAAAGAACCAGCCCTCTTATCACCAGCAGAAACGACCAGCCACGGATGGAGTTCGTTTAAGATCTTCACCGCACGTGGACCCCACGGACCGATAGTCTCTACAGCAAATGGCACAAATATGTAGTCATCTCTCAGAGACTCATATTTGCGCCACTTACTCAGTTCAGCTGCCTCTGATGCCGCCCCGGCTCTAAACGAGGTACCCCTGAGATGAGAGGCCGATGGATTGATTGATGTTTCAAACATCTTTGGTGCAGTATTAATGTCCTAGGATATTTTTTTACAGTTTGGGTGACAAAAGAACACACTCCATTCTTCTTTGATTTTTGTGCTCAGTGCGTTCCCCGATCAAGCATAAAAATGGAATGCCTCTTTACCATTAAAAAGGCCCTATGGTTCTTGTCACTCAAAACTGCAGCACCAAGTCTTCTCCGATCAAGCCGATCCATTCATGAAAATATGTTGCTGCAACAAGGCTCTATCACATAAAAGACACCGTTTACATTTAGACCCAAAAATTAAAAAAAATGTCTTAGGCTTAAAAGACCTTTGAGATTTAATTGAGCAAGCAAATACACTGACCACTAAATAGTCACAGTTATGAATCATATATTACATAATATTGTAAATTTAAAATATTGTTATTCATACAAAAGATAATGAAATGCACGTTACAAGATAAAGATATCGATTATGTTAATTCATATTGTTCTATCAGCACGTTCATCTGGGCTTAGAAAATTGTCTAATATTTCTACACAGTTTATCGTGTAACTTATCATATGAATGTATGAAATAACACAAGCGGCTACATAAATACGTATCACCTATTTTATAATGCATAATTACTTTCACATTGGCTTTGGAAGGAGCGAAAATGGGGGGTCCAAAGATTTTTTGGTCCTCCATGAGCGTTCTCTTACTTACTACGGTATATGTAAAAGCTTGCGATGATAAAGGTATTTGTTTGGTACGTGTGCTATTTCAATTATTAATTTCTAGTAAGTCCTAAATATATATAAAAATAGTTTAGAAGTAGGAATATAAAGTAATATTTTTAAAAAAGTTAGTTAATCACCTTCTTTTGTTTTATTTGCAGTTAGAGGCGCTAAAGGAAATGAAGGAGTGTAAGAAAGCGGCACTTGCCTCGTAAGTATAACACAAATATGTAAGTCTGTTACTCATAGGTGTAGGCAGGGACTACGGAATTCTATTCGGCACGATCCTGACACACCTCTGTCACTTCTTTCAAATCGATATACCTAAACATACGTGCTCATCGGTTAAAGTTACTTTTAATTTGGTCCATATGAATATATCGCCAATTTGGTCGATAAACTACAACCTAAAGTTGGTTTGCCAGTCTTTCTTCTCTCGTTTTTTCTTAGTGTCCACATCACCGGAGCATTCCATTCTTAAATAATAGCGATACATCATATCAAAATCACAATTTGGAAATAAAATAATATAAGTTTGTCTTATATTTCAGATTACTAAAACCTCTTCTTGCTGCTAAATTAGGTAAGTCGCTAATAAGTTTAAAAAAATTATATTAAAACATATAAGAATTGCAATATAACATTCATTAACAAATTCCCTTTCAGAGAAGAAAGAATTATCACCATGTTGTGGGAAAACACCGCTGCCTCCGCCTACTCTTGTGTTAATGCCTGCAGCTCCACCACCAAGTTGTCTACCACCTGCGCCGCCACCACTGTGTCTCCCACCCCTGCCTCCACAATTACCACCCATTATATTATCAGCACCACCACCTGCACCGCTCTGTTTGCCACCACAACCACCTCTTATACTTCCCGCCCCACCACCAGCACCATATCTTCTCCCAGCACCACCGCCAGCACCACTGTATTTGCCTGCGCCCGCTCCAGCGCCTCTATGCTTTCCAGCGCCGGCACCCGCACCAATATTTTTACCCGCCCCTCCACCCGCACCCATGTTCTGCCCCCCACCACCACTACCACCAGCACCAGCTCCGATATTTATATCATTGGTTCCGCCTGCGGCACCTCCATGCTGTGCCCCACCACCTCTCGGTATTCCAATGACCGCGTTCATGGTTCCACCTCCAGTACCCGTTACGTTAGAACCGAAACCTATAGAACTGCCACCTTGTGGTTGCAAGTACTGCTTATAGATGTATTAAAAAAAAATCGCTTATCTACGTCTGTCTCTGTATTCGCTTAAACTGTAAACTACTAGATATTTATATTGACGAGGATATCCGGGCGGCGCTTAGTTCATACAAGCACACTCCTGTTTTTTCCTTGTATGTTGACACTGGAGCTAATATTTTTTTACGACACAATATTTACCAACCATTAGCATCTTTTGTTTTATTCCATAAAATAGTTGTTTTAAAAAGAAACATCATAAAACTTCTAACGTTCATAACTTATACCGCTGTTATGAGAAACCCAGAAAAGAAATTTAACGAACATAAAAAAATTATATCGGACATAGCCAGTATCATTCTTACATGGTTTTAAAAAAAATCAGTTCAGTTTTAGAAAGGAAAACAGATAACACAAAATGATAATTTCCTATTTTTTTTTTGTATCTTGTGTATAATCAGTCTAAGTTGCAGCTTTGCCTTCCTAAGTTGCCTGGCTCGGTTTTTCGGGCACAACGCGGCAACAACAGATGGTTAAAAATATATTTTTCAAATTTCTTACAACCTATCTAGGTTCCTTACCTCTTAAAGTATTCTATTTAGATAGGGAAAGTACCTCTAGTTATTAACAATACAATTTTAACTTTTTAAGTTTTAATTTATTACTTAATAATAGAGTAAGTTTAATATTTATTGAATATATTCAGTGATAATAAAATATAATGAAATGTATTATGAATTTAATTTTATTCAAGTTTCCAATAAATTATAAATATCTATCTATCCTAAATCTTCCCGTGTAGTGGCGGGTAAGAAAACCAACTACCCCAAATCTTCTCGTGGGTGCCCGTAAAAGGCGACAAAGGGAAACTGAGGCAAGAGATGGGCAGTAGCATCTTTCTGATAAGATCAAAAAGCAATAAAAAACCCGCTCGCCAAGCGTGGCAACATAACAATATAACCCCATGAGCAAAGACACAAAAAACGGCCCCCAGTCCCCGGTGGCTCCACCATTCCTGGCTACGGTGGCGACCATGGTAACGGTGGGGCAGGGCTGCTAAGAATCTCCGGTGGAGGTTCGGTTGCCACCTACGACAACTCGACCTGGCAATATATAACGCATGCACCCTGAGGACTAACGAGAATAACATGAAGCTGGAAAAAGTGATAAACAAGTTGCGCTGGGATATTTTACGGTTATCTGAAGTCCAAGAGAGTCGGGGAGGACATGTTAATCCTCGAATCCGGTAACTTGTTCTATCCTTCAAAACCCACTATACGGTGTTAATTGTTAAGTAAGCACAAGGGAGAATGATGAAATGAACGTAGGAAAATTCGGAATAGAGCAACGGAATCCAGGGAACCAGCAGCTAGCCGACTCTATGGAGAAAGAGGGACTCTTTGTGATGAACTCTTTCTTCAAAAGCGGCCCCACAGAAAGTAGACCTGTTAGAGCCCCGACGTTTAAACAATAAATGAGATCGACTTTATTATGACGACGAGACGACAACTGTTCAGTGACGTCTCAGTGATCGCGACGTTGAAAACTGGCAGCAATCACCGTATGTTGAGAGGCACACTGAACCTAAATGTTAAGTTAGAGAGGTTACGTCTAATGAAGTCAATACTTCGTTTCCCTGTTGCTCTAATACAAAGCTCCGAAAACTTTCAGCTCGAGTTACAAAATCGTTTTCAGTGCCTAGAAGTCTGCAATGAAGTGGACGATATGAATGACAAGCTTATGGAAACTGTCCATGCGATCAGAGCTAAGTTCTGTAAGACCCGGCACAGAAGAACACAAAAACTCTCCAATCACACTCTTAATCTCATGGCTGTTAGATGGGAGGTGAAGCTGCAGTATTCAGCAGATTTGACAGCATACAGAACTTACGCAACTTCAGTACAGCTGATATTGAAGAAGCGATCGAGCGGAACCAGGGCTCCAAAGTCTTTGCCAGAGATCTGTCTATCAGAAAGAGCCAACGGTTGAAGCTAAAGATCGAATATGGCAGCATTGATTCCGGGACATCTGAGATTTTAAGTGAGATTGAGAGGTTCTATGAGCAGCTGTACACGTCTTTGCTGGTGCCAGTGTGAGTAACGATCCAAGAGCAAGTCTTATCTTACGTTATTCCAATGATATTCTGGACGTCCGTCTGAGTGAGATAAGAATGGCTCTCCAGCACCTTTAAACGGCAAATCCCCGGGCGAGGATAGAATTACAGCTGAGCTTCTGAAAGCGGGTGGAAAACCGGTACTTAAAGTCCTTCAGAAGCTCTTTAATTCCGTCTTCCATTGTGGTACTACTCCCGAGGCGTGGAGCAGAAGTGCAATGGTCATATTCTTCAAGAAAGGCGACAACGCTCTTTTGAAGAACTACTGACCAATTTCCTTTCTAAGCCGCATCTACTTGCTGTTTTTGAGAGTCTCACACCCAGACTCGACAACTTCCAGTCTCCCAAACAAGCCGGTTACCGAAAAGGCTTTAGCACCATAGACCACATACATACCCTTCAACAAATTGCACAGAAGACCAAAGAGTACAATCTGCCAATTTGCCTTGCGTATGTGGACTATGAGAAATCCTTTGATTCCGCCGAAATTCGAGCGGTGCTACAGTCCCTTCAGCGGTGCCAAGTTGACTGTCAGTGTATCGAAGTGCTGAAGTGTTTATACAGTAGGACTACGATGGGCATCCGAATACAGAACCAGAGTACGAAACTTTACCAACTGCAGAGAGGCGTAAGACAGGGTGGCGTCATTTCCCTGAAACTCTCCACCGCTGCATTGAAAGATGCTTTCAAGCTACTGAACTGGAAAGGATGCGGTATTAACGTTAATGGCGAGTACATCATTCACCTTTGATTTGCCGACGATATAGTCCTTATGGCAGAATCGCTGGAGGAGCACTATGCTCAATGTCCTCAATAGTGTCTTCCAACGGATAGGTCTTAAGATGAACATTGACAAAACAAAAGTCATGAGTAACGTCCATATCACACCTATGCCAGTAGTTGTTGGGAGCACTAAGCTCTAAGTTGTTGACGAATATGTTTACCTGGGACAAATAGTCCGACTAGGTAAGTTCAACTTCGACTGAGAGGTCAATCGACGGATTCACTCGGCTGGGCAGCGTTCGGGAGTTTACGACACATCTTCTCGTCAGGCATACCTCAAAACCTCAAAAAAAGTTTGTACAAACAGTCCGTGTTGCCAGTGATGACCTATATATCTGAGACGTGGTCTTTTACTGCTGGCCGTATGGACGCTGGACGCTCAAAGTCGCTCAGCGAGCTATGAATAGCGCTTTGCTTGGGGTCTCTCTATGTGTTCGTAGTAGAAGCAGAGTAACTGACATAGCTCAACTGATTAGTAAGTTGATGTGGCAATGGGCCGACCATTTAACTCGAAGAATCGAAAACCGATGGAGAAGAAAAGTTCTCGAGTGGCAGCTTCGTACCGGTAGGCAAAGTGTGGGGCGGTCCCCCACTAGACAGAGTGACGATCCTGACCGTGGAGGTGAACCGTGGAGGTGAACCGTGCTCTGTGGCGTTCCTTCGGAGAGGCCTATGTTCAACAGTTGACTTGTGAAGGGCTGTAATGATGATAACCTAAATATCCCACTGCTTCGCATAGGTTTCCTCAGTTCTAACAGAGTTATTAACTCGCCTCAACAGTTCGTAATATTATTATGTCTCAGACATGCAGTTTCCTCTATGTTTTCATGTGCCTTCGAACTCGTGGTAAATTAAAATTGCAATTTACAATTACATTAACGGTGATGAGGATCGAACCCGGATTGCTTGCTTACTGTGAAATTTACGGCAAGCGCTCAACCACTAAGCTACCACGACAGGAAAATTTCAATAATAATAATTTATTACCAAATTGTTACTGGCAACCCCAACGATTTTCCCGGAACGCTATTTCATCGCGGCAAACCTATAATTTAATTTATAATGTAAAAGCTTCTTGAAACGTTGCAGTAATTTTCGTAACGTGGAAACACTACTGCACATTATTGGGTTAATATATTAATAGGCCCACTCGATCACAAAGTCTAAGTACCAAAACGTCTAACAACGTGAAAAGTCTAACAAGCAGAAAGTCTAATTAGAAAAATATTTGTGGCCATTCAAAGTACCTAATATTGATAATCAGTTTATTTATAAACGAAAAGCTTCCCATAGAAGAGAAAACCTTGTTTATATGCTATCTGAAAACTGCAAGTATTGAAAATAATGGCTTTGATTATTCCTGCTATAGTTGATTTGTTTAAACACAAGTTAGTTAGTAGTATTATAGTATTGACATGTTGGTCTGCTTTTGGTGAGCATTCATTCATTTGTAAATAAAGTAATGTAGCTGACTAAATGCTTCTAGGTCTCCTGTCATTTCTAGTAGAATTTTTGTAACAGGAAAAGAAACGTGTTTTTGATGTGTACATGTCCTCGCAATATTGTGGCATCCCATTCACACAGGTATCAGTGTTTTTTTCATCACCGTGCAATATGGCTTATTTTATAGGATAGGGTGACCAACGAACACACAGTCCACCTGATGGTAAGTGGTTGCTGCGGCCCATAGACATCTACATTTATCCTCAATAAAGAATCAAAATGCGGATGCATCGTCACCCGTGAGGACTAAGATGGTATGCCTCTTTTCCAGTAAAATGGGTCTTCGGTTCTCTACACTCACCATACGAAACACAGCAGTGTCAAGCTGCTATTTTAAGCTGGTATTCTGTGAGAGAGTGATCCATCCCTGGTCGAGCGGACCCATTCATGCTAAAACTATACTACTAATATAGCTGCAGCATGGCTCTACCAAGTATAAAAATGGTAAATCAGTACTTAAAATACAATTAATTATTTAATTGGTCGGCACTAATCTAGGTGCGAATTAATTTGCTCGCGGACTAAGGCTCTTCACCTTGTAGTATGTTAATAATAATAATAATTTATTTCTTACAAGGGTAGTTAGGCAACAGTGTTGTAAGATATAAATAATAGTTAAACATTCCTTTGAGTGAGACGGAATTTCATACGGAGTTGTTCTAAGGGATTTTTACCAGGACCTATTTTGGAAATGTCGTCAATGGTGTAAAAATTTATTATTTATCCTTGCGTTTACTTTTTAGATCGTGTGAAACTTGCAAAACAGATTTCATCCTACGGTATGTCAGTAACATTTTCATGCAACTCTACAATGTTAGATGATACAAATATAAACCATTTCTATGGAGTGTTACATATACGATCATCACAGGACCCTATGAATAAGGCAAATTTTAATACCTCATAATTATTTATTTTTTTAAATTAATCTCGCAACTAGAATTTTCTTCTGATCGTTGAGACAGTTTATATACATAAATTGCACAAAGACAAACATCCAAACCCGGCACAATTACATGTTGGCCATAAAAATATTTATTCCGGGCGGAATTCGGATCTCAGCATCATAACTCACTGCTAAGCCAATGCGCCACGGAGCTATCGTACATAATATACCTACTGAATTAACTAATATGATATACTATCTAGCTGATGTGATATGTCTACTGGCTCTTCTGTTTTCCATTTTTATATATCTCATCACATTCAATCTCAAGTGCTCTTACCATCTGTATGCCGATGATCTGCAGTTATATGCGCAATTGGAACCCTCAAATATCTTCAATGCTATCTCACTATTAAATAATGACTTATATATATATATATATATATATATATATATATATATATATATATATATATATATATATATATATATATATATATATCTCTCTCTGAATGGTCCACTGTGTATGGTATAAACGTCAACCCATTTAAATGCCAAACGATAATCTTAGGCGGCCTATCTCCATGTAAAGAACCTTGTTTTGTACGTTGATGGTTTCTTAACATATACAGGAGTTGAGTCGCAAAATTACTGGATCTTTACGATCTCCATATCGATTAAAAGACTTTCTTCCTACTAATACTAGGCTTTTACTTGTCCCATCACTCATTCTACCGATTATTGATTATGTCGATGTGTGTTGCGCAGACCTGTATCAACGTCATCTTAATACATTGGATCGTCTGCTGTTTGTGGAACGACATCCCTCTTGATATTAAAAAAGCTGTTAACATGTTTGTTTTTAAAAATCAAGTCCGTAAGCATGTGATGATGATAGCTACCAGCTACTATCCAGTACTGCTATCGTCAATCCGTCTGCCAAGCGTGATGATTAATGCAAATCCTCCGAGAGTCCTTCAAAACCCTTTTTTTATAGGATAAGTGTGACAAACGAGCACACTGTCCACCTGATGGTAAGTGGTTGCTGTGGCCCATAGACATCTACATCTAACTTCGATTACGAATGAAAATGCAGATGCGTTGTCACCCGTGAGGACTAAGATGGAATGCCTCGTTTCCAGTAAAAAGGGGTCTCCGGTTCTCTACACTAACCATACGAAATACAGCAGCGTTAAGCTGCTATTTGACGCCTGGTGTTCTATGAGAGCATGGTCCCTTTCTGGTCGAGCCGACCCATTCGTGCTACAACCATAATATAATTGCAGCATGGCTCTACCACGTATAAACCCTTTTCTAGCAGTGGACTTTTACGAGTTAATAAAGGAAGGAAGCAGAAGAAGATAACTTAAAAGCAGAAGAAAATAGGTAAAAGGGTGTGCTATGTGGTAATCAATCGAATCTACTACGATGATAATAATAATAATAATAATAGTAATCTTTATGGATAAACATATTACATTCACAAATATTTACAATGGTCAACAGCCCCTAAACTAGGATATTATACCTGTATATCAGGGGCTAGTATTTCCTTCCCTATTCTTAGTTCTAATGATAATGAAAGATGATGATAAATATCATCTTTGGTTGGATTTTTTTCTCCGAGTCTGCCGCCAGAGCATCGCACGTTGAGCAGCAGATTGCACAGCTTGAACGATTTTTTTATAGAAGTAAGGGTAACAAATGAGCACATAGTCCACCTGATTTTAAAGGAATACTGTTAATAATAATTGTTTATTGACAGTAATAATAATATTATATTATAATTTTCCAATTGGCTCTATAGACATCTACTTCCATCAACGATTAAGAATAAAAATGTAGATGCGTTGTCACCCCAGAGGACTAAGTTGGAATTGCAACATCCTTGTGGAATCGACTACCACCAGCGATTTTTCCGGAGAAATACAACTTAGGGACGTTCAAAAAAGAGCCTATTTAAAAGGCTGGCAACGCATCTGCGATTCCCCCTGGTGTTGCAGTTATTCATGGGCGACGGTAGTCACTTACCATCCGATGAGCCGCATGCTCGATTGCCCCCTCTGACATAGAAAAAACTGTAAAAAAGCTTTCCAGTTCTTTACTCACCATACCAAACACTGAAGCATTATGTTGCTATTTTACGCTTGTATTTTGTGAGAGCGTAATCCTTTCCCGAAAATGTCGACCAATTCATGCTGTAGCTATAACATAGCTACAGCACGACTCTACTACGTTAAACTTTATCATTTGTTTGGAAGGACCATAGTTAAAAGTCCGTAAAGAACTCATCTAAACTAAATGAAAATATCACCCGGTATACACCCCCCGCTGCTCACAGATTTCCTCGTGTTTCTGAGATGATAATGCGATGAATCCACCATGCTGCTCCAGAGCGTGTTAGCGGATTTTAAATTTCCTCAAATTGGTTTCTTCGTCATATATCATCTTGTTTCCTCGCAGTCTTTTCCTTCACTATCAAGCACTTGTCAAATTAGCATTTATATTTGCGATTAACAATTTTACTAATAGAATACTACCTGCGGCTACTCGCATCTTTTTTTAAATTTATGGCTACCGCTTAGCCCAGAGCTATCTCAAATCGCTATTGACGTATATGAAGAGTTCATCTATTGACATTACCTGATGGTAAGTCATCACCGTCATCTATAAACATCTGCAACACCATGAGAATTGCAGGTGAATTGTCGGCCTTTTATCAAGGATGATATTGATAGTTCATTCATTTTCACACTATATCAGAAATAGCTGATTTCTGATATAGTGTGAAAACTACTCTCGTCTATTTCTTGCAGGTTCAAACGAGACACTTCTCACATTGGTACAAGTGGCTGGTTATAAATGAAATACCAGAATTTCTCAACAAAACTCGTTATGACGCAGATGTAGTTCTAATGCGTACGGAGCAAAATGAAGAAACAATCGCTTTGAACAGTAATAATATTATTTTTACTCAATACCAATACACATTCATTGACTGATTCATTACATTCTGCCAAAGGTGGAACATAGGCCTGTCCGTAGATTGCCACATAGGAGAGACATTCTCCACAATTGCAATGCTTGGCAGGTGGGTTGACGACCGAGGTTTTTTCTGAGTAGTTATCTTCCCATATCCTATTTTACTTTGGTATGTCGCCTCTTTCACACCTACGGAAAGAGAGAAGCAAAGGTATTGTTTAGGCCAAACAAATAACATTTGAAATTTGCATTCCACTCGTGTCCGCCCGCTGACTTTGTAAAGGTCACCCTTGCCCCACTCCCGTGTGCGTCGCTTGGCAGAGGGCGTGGGCGCAGAACGCGAGTCCGAAAAACCGTAGCTCGCTGGCAGCCATACAGTTAATTAGCATACATCGGTTGCCACTGCCGAGGTTTCGCGCGACCAATTTTGGGTTTACGGTCTTGATTTTTAGAATTGTGCGCGTGACTTCGCTACGTAATTGTGTTTCGTAAAAACCGCCTTGTTTTAGGTTGTCTAGGGTTTAAGTTCTTGACAAGAGGCTTGTATTCTCTTTGACTGATTAAAGTAACTTCTTTGAAAGTAATTGTGCCTTCGCGTTAAGTGCCCTTTTTTGTGTGTTGACTGTTTTGTTCGTTTTACGTATCAACGAGGCGGAATTTGAATTCTTATCGCGGCGTAGTTTTTAGTGTCGAACGAAGGAACTTTTAGTTATGTTTAACGCCGAACCGTGTGACTCATGAAGAGATCGCGTTAGTTGCCTATTTATGATTTGGTGATAAGTGAATCCGGGACATTGAATGTTGAACTTTGAACTACTGTCCGTTACTGTGTCGGGTATCACGTGTTCGATTCTACGATGAATGTGGAATTAGGCAAGTTTAAGTTACTTAAATGTACAAAGTTAACAGACTGAAATATTGACATGAAAAAAGAAATGGTCCAGCGGGGAAGCCTGTTTTACAGGGGCAGCTGTGGGCCGTAACAGGTATAATATAAGAAATGTGATTTTTTTCTTTTTGTATCACATTTAGTTAGTATATTTGTAAAACATAAACAATTCACAATGTTGTGTTAGTCCCTACTTTAATGTGTGGCAGTGAAAGTTGGGTGTGGCAGAAGAAGCACGAGAGTAAAATAAATGCTGTAGAAATGCGGTCATTAAGGAGTATGTGAGCGATGAATCTGAATTACAGGATGAGAAATTGTTTGATAAGAGAAGAGTGTAGTTTGCAAGATGATGTTGTGACCAGGATTAAGAAAGGAATGCTTCGGTGGTTTGGTCATGTAGAAAGAATGAATGAAGAAAGAGTGACAAAACAAATTTATGTTACAGAGGTGAACGGCAGAGTCGGGAAGGGACGCCCTAGGCGAAAATTTATCGACCAAATTGACGATATATTGAACATGGGCCAAATTAAGAGTACTTTTAACCGACGAGCGTGTATGCGTAGGTATATAGATGTGAAGGAAGCGAGAGAAAGTGTGTCAGGATCGTGCCAAATGGAAGTCCATAGTCTCTGCCTACCCCTCTGGGTGACAGGCGTGAGTGTTTATATTTATCTTAACCTAAAAACATTCACTACACGTCAATACAAGAGTGATTCATAATAATTATGTTTAGGTTAAAATGTGGAGGTAAAAAGTTATGAAAACGTTTCACAACATACATTTTTTATAAAAAAACTTTAAAATTGTATCATTATACGGTTAAAACGTCCTTTTTTTTCAGAAACTAAATCTCTTGCTGTCTCTTCCTTGGTTTTCTTTGATGACATTTACATACACCCTGGCTATGGCGCATCTGCTCATCCTTGGGCATATTGGCGTCAGTCTCAAGGTCTACAAGTAATGTTCGAACGGGAGAGAATTTTAAGGCGGTTTGATCTTAAGAAGTACACCTTAAGGATTGCTACTCCGGTATGTATACAACGATTAAACTTATCAATCGTCATCATCGTCAGTGCTCACATTTGGTATTGAATGTTTGAATTTTGGGGTCGAAATTTATATACTCCCTAATTTCTATTATTGTTATCGTCATTCTCATTTCACTTAGACACACGATTATACTAACCTCTATCCACAGCTCCGCCTATTGAGTTCTAGTTTATGCTCAAATACACTCATTGTCAAATTTAGGGGAACTGAAAAAAAGGCTTAATTTCTCCCTGTTGTAACTATCATGGATTACAGTAAGCACAAAAACTGTGAAAAAAGGACTGAAATCTGCCGGAAAAAATTCACACTTGCCCGCCACAGCTTTCCCTTCTTGCCACATGCCATCGAGTATGAGAGTAATTTTGCTGCGTAATGACGAAGCTTAGAGTCAAGTTCTATTTACAGATGATACCAAAATGTGCCCACGTTATAGTCTTTCCTAAGCATTTACGAAAAAAAATTAAGAGAAGTACAAAGATGTTTCTTTCCTGTAAATATTTTTTTAAATTTTTGTCTTTTTGTTGTTTTTTTTTTTTTTGACCTTTGTAATATTAAATTAAATATAAGTAAATAAACTTGATTGTCACAAATATTCATGATATTTCACACCCTTTTTTTTGTGTTCTCTAAATTTGTCCAGAAGTATATATAATATTCGAATAGAATGCCTTCAAAAGACAAAATCTGAATAAGGACAAGTGTCACACTTCACGAAAGAACAACTATCTCAAGATAATCTAACTATTCATAAAAATGTGATCGTAGTTTCGAACCCTGACTATGGATACTAGGATTCGAAACTATGATGCCCAGTTTATAAGTTATAGGTACTTTATTCACAACGCTGTTTAGTTGTTTGAAATAGGATAAAATTGAACATAATGAAATACTAATAGCCTTTTAGACCTGTACACCTAATAGCAAAATTACATCACTTCAGACAGAATGGTGGTCTATAGTTTAATAAAGAAAAGACATTGTAGCAAACGCCAAATTAATTTTCGTAACGAAAAGTCAAAGTAACCAACGTTGAATAAGGCACTTGTCCTACCGTCAACGTTGATCGAGAAGCGAGTAGAGCTAGAAACTAGATAGAAGTTGGCGAGCAGCGAGAAGTGAGTATTTTAGTACAGATAGTTTTGTCGCTGGGTTATAGGCGAGTGCACTGAGATCCGCACTTTAGAGTAAAATGACCGCTGGTTGGTCTCTCGGCGTGAAGTGTGACCGCCTAGCGAGCATCACTGAGCGAGTTTTACCTTTGATAGCTCTTGTCGCTATGATAAACTAGTGAAAAGAGAGTTCTCGCCGGCAGTGTGACACGGGATTTATATATATTGTTAATTTCTTGAGTGAGAAAATAGTCGATAGCTAATCGCTTTCTCTTCTGTGATTGGATAAGTGCCTAAGGTGCTGTAAAGAAAAGATAACATTACAAGGTTTTATATAAAGTTTAAAAAAGACAACCTGATAAACTTTCAAAAAATTATCGTAAAGAAAACACAGATAAATGTATACATTAAGGGTTATTTTTCAAAGACTAGCCAAATTTTAAACTTAAGTTCAAATGTATAAATATATATATTATACTGTAATTGCAGTTTTTGAAAATACAAATAAATAAGGCTTCTACTTTTATTTGAAGTTATCGCAAATTGTAACAACCTTTTTGCCTACCGATCGACTGTGTGCGTGCGCAGTAAAATCAGTTAAAATAATGCCTTACTTCGCAATTTGAATTAAAAAGATAAGAAGTCGGCAGAAAAGGACAGAATGTTTGCGATATTTTTTTTAAAAAGTTTCTTCACCATTTGCCAATATTACTTATTCTGAAATATTTCCGCGAATTTGGCTGGTTATTGCAAAATAACCCTGTATAATAAAATCGAAAATTTACTTTTTCTCTAGTTGTCTGTGCATTTTTAAGTGTTATTTTGAGACAAGATTTATTTTATTTGAATCAGTTGACAAATTTAAATGATATATCAATTTTAATATGCATACACAGGTTGAAAGAAAAATTGATACATGTTTGCACGTAAGTGTATGAAATCGCGGCACAGTTAGTATTGTATGAAATTTCGTAAAGAGAAAAACAGCGCGAAAAACACTATATAAAGTTTCGTAAAGAGGAAAGCCGTTTAGTGGCGGTGTAAGAATGTCCACTACCCCATATCAACCCGTGGGTGACGTAAGAGGTGACAGAGAGAAACAAATCAGGAGATGGGCAGTAGCGTCTTCTTAATAACGTTTAAAATAAAAAAAACTGCGAATGGTTAAGTGTTATGCCAACTATGGCAAATATTCCTCCCATGAGGCCAATCTATGGGGGAGGCCTATGTCCAGCAGTGACCATGCACACCATCTGGATGCCTAGCAGTCCGCCACTGTACGTTTCACTAGTTTTCTTCCGCGTACGACCTCTCTGTGGAATAGTTTACCACCGGCAATTTTTCCGGACCGATAGATCTTAGGAACCTTCAAGAAAAGAGCTTACTCCTTTCTAAAAGGTCGGCAACGCACCTGCGATTCCCCTGGTGTTGCAGTTGTTTATGGGCGGTGGTAGTCACTTACCATCAGGTGAGCCGTATGCTCGTTTGCCCCCTCGCCTATAAAAAAGTGAACTTTAATAGGTTGTAAATGTAACTGTAAAGAAAAGACAAAGTAACAATTCACAAAAGCTTAAATCATTGTGTTTATGTGTCAGCTAGGACAATATTCCGAAGAATGGTACAATGGCACTTTTAAAGACTATCTTACGGATATCTCGATGCCAGAGCGGGACTCTGGCGTACGTTGTGGATATGGAGCATCTGTACTTCTCATCGAGGCATTAAATGCTGAGTTAGTAGAACTAAGTTACTTTAAAATATATAAATATCTCATAAAATTAGACTGGACCTCATTAAAATAGTCATATTATGTATGTGAATGCATTTTTACTGAAATACATGCAGTACTTATAGATATAATAGTAATGTTAAAGTTGCAGCCTATATATACGTCCCACTGCTTGGCACAGGCATCCTCTTCTGGGAGGGTTTTAGGGCAAGGAAAAGTCCACCGGGCTGCCCCAATGCGTGTTGGCGAACTTAACATGACTTCAATTATATTTTCTTAACAGGACAGATTAAGGCAGCACGTGGTAAATCAGCACTTAAAACTGCAATTAACTTAATTTCATTGGTGCCGGCGGGGATCGAACCCGGGTAGCTCGCGTACAGTGAATAAACAATAATAATGTTATCTAGACCAAATTACGGTGGTCAGCACCAACGTAAAGTAGCTATTTGCGCAGGGCAGGATAAGAGTGTCGGAGTGTATGCCCAAGTACAGGTGCACTTTCCCTTACTCTCATAGTATGGGACGGCGATCCAACACAACCGGCGAGAAATCAGGTGTAGGACCAACGGTTTTACGTGCTTTCCGAGACACGAGGGTAAAACACCGCCAACTTCTTGACTCCGGGCTGTTACTGAACATTTCTTGATTTTTAAAAAAAACTCAATAATTGATTTGTTTTTTGCCCGACCCGGAATTCGAACCCGGCACCTCATGATCAACAGCCGCGTTTACAATCACTAGACCAACGAGACAGTCGAATAAATTAATACATGTTTATTAAATGTGCAAGTTCGGATATGTTGTGTGTGACACAGGCCGCCACACGTTCTTGGAAGGATTTGAGGTTTTGGGCAGGGAAGAGTTCGCTCTGTTACACCAAAGCGTGCTCACTACTTTCACATTTCCGCAGAACTTTCTTTTAAATTTCACACGCTCTGAGGTTTCTTTACGTTGATTAGCTTCAGCTTTCTAAATCGACGCTTAAAATTTCATTAACAATTTTTGAAGTTATACTTCTTTTGGGGCGTTTGGGCAAAATGATGAGAAGGAATTTTTACGATGCGCGCGCAAACCGACAGCTAAAAAGGATGCCATGGAGTTGTTACGATGCGCGCGCACACTGACACCTAAAAGCGACAACTTCAGTGGGTAATTGTCTCTCAAGTTTTTTTGTTTCGTTACGTTAAAGAAGTATAACTTCTTACGTGCCTACATGTACGCACGTAAGAAGTTGTATTGTATGTATGTGTTGTACGTGGATCGGATTGTTTACGTATTGTGATATCATGCATCCAAATCTTTGTTCCAGACAAGAACTAGTTCCGACAGAGTTGTGGAGCACAGAAGTAAATAACAGCAGCATGATTCTAATGTTGTCGTACGGTACTGCGGATCTTGCTGGTGGAATTCTTAGAATCTTACCCAATCGCATCACGCGACTGGACTATGCTATGCCTATTTGGCCTTTCCAGTGGGTTTATTACCTTTTTTATTAATTTTCCGTTCCGTCCAAATTCAGCACTAGGTACAGAACACTTATGAGCTGGAACTATATAATTGAACAGATGTACCATGAATGGGTCGGCTCGACCGGGGAAGAACCACGCTCTCACAGAATACCAGCGTAAAATAGCAGCTTAACACTGCTGCACCTTTTTACTGGAAAAGAGGCATTCCATCTTAGTCCTCAGGGGTGACAACGTATCTGCATTTTGATTCTTAATCGAGGATAGATGTAGATGTCTATGGACCACAGCAACCACTTACCATCAGGTGGACTGTGTGCTCGCTTATCCCATAAAAAAAATTTCGTTTTCTCACGTACTTTATTTAAGTCGTGTGCCCCTCCCCCCCCCCCCTCCCCCCTCCCCTTAGATTTGATCGTGATAGAGATGTGGATGAGACAACAAGGCCTTTTTTGGATCTTTAATCTATCAATATAAATAAAAAATCTAAATTTTAAATCTCCGAAAGTTGCATTTGCAAAGTTACATACGGGCGTGTTTTTAAATTCTTTCTATGATTTTTTTTGAGCCGCAGCAATCAGTGGCCTATAAAATTATTACATTCTAGTCTAATCTATTTTATTCTGATTTTTTACTGTTCTGTTATACTCTATTCTATCATTCCTATCCTACCCTATTGTATTCTATTCTATTCTATATTACAGTGTCGGTTTCACATATATATCTGAACGTGAAAGTAGCAGTAACATGTTCGTAGAGCCATTTACAACAGGAGTGTGGTGGACGTGTCTTGGTTTCGTTCTCGTCATGGCTCTTGCTCAGAGAATTACTGCCAAGAGGCCTGTGGAGAAAGAAGGCGCTTATATGGCCGTGATCGCAACATCTTTGCAACAAGGTAACAAAGATGTTCATGCATTATAGTAGTTCAAATTAAATCATATAAATTAATTTTTTCTACCATTAAAATCAACTGTCTGTGCATTTTTTTATATAGAATAAGGATGACAAACGAGCACGCAGTCCACCTGATAGTAAGTGGTTGCTGTGGCCCATAAACATCTACACCTATCTTCGTTTGCGAATCAAAATGCAGATGCGTTGTCACCCGTGAGGACTAAGATGAAATGCCTCTTTTCCAGTAAAATGGGACTCCGGTTCTCTACACTCACCATACGAAACACAGCAGCATTACGCTGCTATTTTACGCTGGTATTCTGTGAGAGCATTATACAGGGTTGTTTTTCAAAGAGTAGCCAAATTTTAAACTTAATTTAAAATTTATAAATAATGATATACCGTTATTGTAGTTTTTGAAATTGCGAGTAAATAAGGCTTCTACTTTTATTTGAAACTAGCTAATATCCTTGTTGCTTGACATATTAACAAAGTTTTCCTATGTGCGAAGGAAAAACATCAAAAAGACAAAATTTCTTTGTAAGCAATGTTATTCGTTGCTCCATTTGTAGCTAAAATATATTAATTATCTGGGTTAGTATCGCGAGAACAAGGGACGTATACAGTTGACGGTGTGAAAAACCCCGTATAGAAATCGTTGTTTCTTAAAACTTTAATAACGCTTTACCACGCATTTTGAATTTAAAAGGTAAAAAGCACAGAATGTTTGAGATATTTTAATTAATTTTGCTTCCCGATTTGAAATATATATTGTAATATAAAAGCGTAAGTTTTTCATACACGCCAAACGTCCCGTCCCGTTGCACACTCCTTACTCATCTTGTATATTAATTGCCTTTAAAAACAAAATAAAGTCTAATGAAACCTAGTTTAAGAGTTTATTATAACAGATGCAAGCGCGGTTCCGGAGGGATTCTCTGGTAGATGGACCTTTTTGGTGCTATCTATATCGTCTATGTTGATCCATGCATATTATACGTCAGCTATAGTGTCAGACCTCATGAGTACTGGTCGTAGCGGCCCCGACTCACTGCGTTCGCTGGCCGATTCAAGATACGCTATAGCATCCGAGGATTACGATTACATGCGATATTTGATGTTTGATGTAAGTTATCTTTATTACCTACTACAAGTATATTATCGCTTGTCAGTGAAGTCACAAGGCTCTTACGGAAATCCAGCGCTACAAACATGCAGCGCTGAAAACTTCTACAAAAGTTTCCAGAGCTGCAAGTTACTGCGGGATTATGCTGCGTTGAAGATCTGTTTAAAGACACTTCATGGTATATTAGTCATAATTACCTATTAATATTTGAATTTATAAAAATTTGTAAACATTTCTTGTGACAAAATTAAGAGGTAATATTTCTAACAAAACAAATATTGCCTTTTATTTGTCTATATTTAATCTGCCAATTTTCCTTGCGTATATGGCCTATAAAAAAGCTTTTGATTGAAAAGTGAATGTACAATAGGGCTATGAAAGCTACTTTGACCAGTCCAATCCATTTATAAACATAAATGGATTCAATTTGGCTGAACAGCGTTCGGGACATTACAACACATCTTCCCGTCAGATATACCTCGAAACTTGCAAATAAGAGCGTACAGTACCAGTGTGTATTGCCAGTGATGACATATAGATATGAGAGACCTGGTAAGAGATACAAGTGTTGATAAACAAAGACGAATTTATTATGTGTGCCTTGAACCATATTTCTTACTTACCTTTAACTCAGTGCTTGACTATTTCTCATATGTAGATATTTACAGAGTTTATATCGACACAAAAATATACAAAATTTGCATCACTAATCCTTCTTATAAAGATTTATAACTTTACGTTGTAAATATAAGTGAGAGTGACAAGCAAGCCCAGAAGTGCGTGTAAGTGGATATCATACAGTACGATTGTCTATACGTACCTACATCTATCCTCGATTAAGAATAAAAATGTAATAATTTAAAATTTTGTACAACTAAAATCAATATAAATTATTAAGAATAACTCAAAAACTGTTAGTCAGACCTTGATCAAATTTATACGGAACCACATGTGAAGAATCATCGAAATCGGTTCGGTTCACCCAGTAAAAAGTTATGAAGAAACACACATTAAAAAAGCATGCAGTCGAATTGAGTACTGTCTCCTTTTTGAAGTCGGTAGAAAATAGACTCCGATGTTAGTCACATAGCAAATAATTTTATCATAAAGTTCTGGGTGGCCACTTTTGTCAATTTTTGGAGCTAATAAATAATACATTCACTGCTGTGTACCAATTTACGTGGCAAGCTCTATTTTAGTTATCAAGAATATATTTGTATTTATATTTACATTGTGTGAATTGACATATTTAAGTTAAGTATCTATATAAATATTTTATTTTATCTTTTTAAGCCCGCTACATACATACGGAATTCCGTTTCGGGATTTCGTTTCGATATTCCGATTCGAAATTCCGAACGCAGCAAGTTCTTTTAAAATCTATGACCCGGCACCATGAAGCTTTTTCCGTTCGAAATTTTGCGGGCAAAACGGGATTCCGTATGTGTGTGGCCGACTCGTTCGGAATTCCGAAACGGAATCTCGAAACGGAATTCCGTATGTATGTGGCCGGCCTAAAGATCATAAAGCAAATTTACACATGTCATAATAGCTCACCACACAACGCGTTGACTGGCAGAGAATGCCAACAGGCATGAAGTCTGCCTATTGTTACCTTGTAAGGTGTTAAAATGACGAAAAATAAATAAATAAATGGCAACGCATCTTTAATCTTCTCTTTCTGAAGGTGGTGTTGGAGACACCACGTTTCAACACCAAAATTTGCACGACGACCCGACCGTTCATGTTGTAACCGTTAATACAGCCTGTGATACAGCTGCAGATTGACGCTAACACATATAAAATATGCTTACTTTTTCCTATATATATATACTACATAATGTTATTATGTAGGTCAAAACAAACTGGGAGGATCTCGAATATTTAAAAAAGAAAAAAATAACATCCCGATTCTACTGTGACATAGAACGCGGAGTGGAACTCCTACGTAAAGGGAACACTGCCTATCACACAGAATACAACCAGCTATATCCTCATTTAAAGACATTTACAGATGACCAGTTGTGTAAGTTACAATATGTGGACACAATACCTGAGGTATGTGGCATTGTTGTTGTTTTTCTTCTTCTTAAAGTTACAGCCTATATACGTCCCACTGCTGGGCACAGGCCTCCTCTCATTTCTGAGAAGGTTTTAGGGCAAGGAAGTGTCCGCCGCGCTACCCCAATGCGTTTTGGCGAACTTCACATTTCTTCAAAATATTTTTTATTTCTCAGACATGCAAGTTTCCTCAGAATGTCCTTCACCGCCGAGCACGTAATACCTAAATCAGCACTTAAAATTGCAATTAACAATTTCATTCGTGCTGACGGGAGATTGAACCCGGCTTGCTTGCGCACTGTGAAATTAACAACGAGCGCTTAGCCCCTGAGCCACCAACCACGGCTTCTTCTCCTTCATCAGTCTATATAAGTTATGGGCAAGGTCATTTAAAAAAAATTACTGCTTTGAACGGACTAAGGAATATCACCAGCATAAGGTACCAACCAGATTGTTGACAACATATTTATGTTAAATATATCATCCCCTATATTAGGATTGTAATTATTTCTCCCATATCTCGTATTAACTATGATATAAAAAAGTTATAATTTAAATCGATTCAAATTTGACGAAGATATCACAAAGTAAATACAAAAATACCATACAGTCGAATTGAGACTAATAATCTCCTTTTTCTTTCTAATAATTTCTTTTCCTTCATATTTGCTTAACTTGTATGATGTGTGCTTATATATATATGTATGTATGAATGTAATAGATTTGATTGATATTCCTTTTTTATTTTTGGAAACATTACCTTTACTCTAGAATTTTCACATGCATCGTGGGAGCAATATACATAAATAAATTTCACAAGGACAAATATCTAGACCCCGAACAATTATTTGTAAGGGATTCGAACCCGCGGCCCTTAGCGCTGCAACTCATTGTTAAGCCACTGCAAATAGACAATAGACTTTTGACGTGCAGTTTTCACCCACTTCCAGAGATTTGAATAGTCTAAATAATTTTTTATACATCGATTTCAATTCATCTACAAATTTATTAAAAACCGATGACAATACAATAAGTTCGAGGCTATGACCTAGGATCATCACAGCTCGTGATCAAAGCGTCTTATTTTTATAAACTACAGTAGAACCTTGATAACTTAAACCTCGACAATGTAATAACCTCCATAAATTCATAAAATGTTGTGTTGCCTTCCACTCGGAGTCCAAAACCTCTTTTAGTTAAAATACAAACCCTCTACAACTTAAACGAATAATTTGGGCATCGCACCTCAGTAACTCAAAGTTGCGACAAGGACGACCTTTGTAACTTCAATCATCTATCAATGAGTCATTTTAAATGAATGATGACCAGTCATAATAAAGTTTCCCTGTAAACCATTGTTATTTCTTACACGTGTTTACCAAATGGCTTTAAATGTAAACAATGGACTAAGGTCCAAAAAATAATGGATACCGTTATTCATGGTGTTGAGAGCGATATTATAAAAGAATATTTAAATGACGAGACACAAGATTCACCTATGATTATATCTATCAGCGAAGCAAGGAAATCTGTAAACACTTTAGGTTCTTCTATAGAGCAATGCAGTATATATAGTATGCAATGCACAGAGAATGATATTTTCTCTTCTTTATTTAATATTGAAAGTAAAATTGATATAGAAAGTGTGAATAGTTTGAAACAAAAAAAAATTACCGACTTTTTTATATTTAGAATAAAACAAACTTGAATAGATATATCTTTAAACCTAAAATAAAGTACGTATTTACATATGTATTAACAATTAAAAATTTAATTTGCATTTAACCTAGCTCGTCTATCTATGTATATTATTCCTAACCAAAGCTCATGAACGAACCTCTGTAAGTACAAACACAAACCAATGAAACTCCTTAACTTAAACCCTTAGTAAGTAAAAACCTCAATAACTAAAATTATTTAACGTTTCCCTTGGTCTTTGTCTTATCGAGGTTCTACTATAAATTTTGAAGTCTATTAAAAGTATTTAATATTATCTTCTTGTGGTATTAAAGTACAATACGTGTGTGTAATAAACTTAATTTCAGTCCGTTACATGGGTGACAACGACAAAGCGTGGACAATGGATAGACATTTTTCGTTCAAAGGGTGGATGGCTTCACGAAACAGGACTGGCGCAGCGACTTCTGTCTCACATAAAAATCCGACCACCGCCTTGCAGAGCTGCCTTGTTAGCTGAAAGAGTTAAATTTGGAGACATTGCTCCGGTTCTCGGATTAACCGTAATAGGATCTGTGTTGTCTTTTGTTATTATGGGCTTGGAAATTGTTTTCGCTAAGATGGAGAAACGGAAGAATGTGCTTGTATCGAACATCACCGCAAATCCTGTAGATGATATTAATTATTTAGATTAAGCACACTTTTACACAGCAAGCAATTTAAGTGATGTAAAGCACTATTTGGCGTCATTGTTAAAAAATCCTTTAATCAATAAAGAGATACCAAATTTTGCATGTCTCACAATGCGAGGAATTGCTCTACTCTCAATACCTCAATTGCACTACATAAAATCGTTCTAATACTTTTAGCTAGACATCAAATCCATATTATTATTAAGGTTACAATGACTACAGACATTGAATTATAAAGATTACTTTATTTTCTAATTGATTCACTTTAGATTACATAATGTAATTGAAAAATATATGAACTACCGTCCGTTGGCCTGTGCGTCGGTGAGTCTTCTCATTTAATATAAATGTAAGCAATAGCTTGAGATATATAGTATTAAATAAGATTCCATACGTTCTAAGGGGGACCCTCCCTGCGTGCACTTTTGAGTTTTCCAAGCTATTTAAAATTATTGATTGATTTTTGTTATTGAACTCAACGCCGTTTAAAAGTTATTAATGAAAGTCGATCAGATTATACCTACCTGTTATTTGTTTTTCTTGTAAAACTTATGTATCTGCACTATTTTTTTTTCATCATAATTAAATGAAACGATCATGAGGCGTGCACTTTTGGGTTTTCCAAACTCAAAATTTCATTTAAGTTTGATGAAATATAAAGAAATATAATTAATATAATTTTATCTTACAATATAAAAAAATCCTAATTGATTATAGAACCACCTTTTTAAATTTGGCAGCCGTCCTCGGCCAAAGCCTGCCAAGTCTAGACCTTAAACTGTTCATTTATTTAATTAATCTTTATTATACACACCTAACACTAAGTAATTCTCTACCAGTCAAGCCTGTTTTGAACAATGGTGGCAAATGTAAACAAAACTAAATAAAATTGAGTAATAAAGATCTAAGTTACAATAAACATATAATATATATACAATATAATAAGAATATATGTCAAAATTTTTCACTGTCAAAAGCTACGTATATTTATATTATTTTATTTTGTTATTTGGAGGCCAATTCTGGCTTACAAATTTCAACAAAAAGATCAGAAAATATATAAGAGAGTTGTTATAATAATAATTTTTTGATTTCAGACATAATACTAATTAATAAAGAAAAATATTTCTGCTGCGCCGTTGACAACTGTCAAAGCGTAACGACTATACATACAATGTTTATCAATATGGAATAAATCCAGGGAAGTAATGTAATAATATTTCATTTATAGAGTAAAGTGCTTTTATTTAGGCCGTAAATGATTGTTTCAGGGAAAGATGCGGGGTACAGCACATTTCAAGTTAATATGAATATGTAATATAAAGACTTTTGAGTGTTGTAGAGATCTGTTTAGATTTTTTAATGAATATCTCTGCTCCTCTACATTCACAGCCGGATTTCCTACAGTGTCAAAATTGTGCTGACGGTAGGCTGTTTAAAGGTAAAAGGGGATTAAATATACATATTAAACGATGCCATAGTAAAAGTATTTCGGCTTCACAGCCTGCCGTAGAAATTCATAACTTTTTTAGCAATTCCTCTATTGACACAAATGTTTCCCGTTTTTCGGAGCAAATTTACAATTATTATCGTAATGTACCAGTGGTTAAAAGAATTCCTAGAGGTGCGAGGATGCAGCTTGCTAAAGCATTGTCAAGCACTATTCAAAATTGTTTCACTAATAGTCAAAATAGTTGGCAAAAATTATTTACTTTCGCGTATTCTCATTTTCATTTTGATAAAACAATAAATAAATCAATTACGTCTCAACTAAAAGAGACATCTTTTCAAAATTTAGATTACCCAATTAATACTCATTTATCTCGACCACGTCCTAAATTTGATTTAAAAAAAGTAGTTGAGTCGAAAGTAATGGATGGCGACTTAAAAAATGCATCCCGTATTTTATTCTCAGACGACATCTTGGCTCCTCGTAATGTCGAAACTCTTGAAAGCCTTCGTCAAAAGCATCCTTCGGTCAAACCGTCTCAGGGTTTACCGCTGCCTCCCAAGACTTCTATGCAACCTTTACAAATTTCGGAAAAAGACACTTTAGAAGCAATTATGTCATTTTCGAATGGCTCTGCTGGCGGCATTGACGGAATTACGCCTCAACATCTTAAAGATCTTGTAAGCGCTTCTGCCGGTGACGCCGGCGGAGTACTTCTTAAAGACATTACAAAATTATGTAACTTTATGCTTTCTGGTAATGTTAATCCAAATTTCATTCCATTCTTGTATGGGGCAAGATTATGTGCCTTCAAAAAAAAGGATAACGGTATCCGTCCTATTGCCGTTGGTTCCACATTTCGACGCTTAACTTCAAAATTAGCTTGCAGGTACATAATCTCTAACCTTAAGACCAAATTTCAGCCTACTCAACTAGGTTTTGGCACTAGAGGTGGCTGTGAGGCGGCGGTACATTCAGTGCGTACATTTTTAACAAACTCTGATGCAGATGTTCTTGTGAAGGTTGACCTAAGGAATGCTTTTAACTCTATCGATAGGGTAACCTTGCTGAAAGAAGTGGCTAACAATACCCCCGAAATTTATCATTACGTTTGGCAATGTTATAGTCAAAATACTAACTTGTTTTACGAAAACCATGTTATCGATTCTGCTGTTGGTGTTCAGCAGGGTGACCCTCTGGGTCCAGCACTTTTCAGTTTGGGAATTCAACCCATTATTTCAAATTTGAAATCCAAGCTGAATGTCTGGTACCTAGACGACGGTACACTGGGAGGTAGAGCAGATGATGTCCTCAGCGATCTTACTCATATTTTTCGAAATTTTAAAAATATTGGCCTTGAACCAAATAGCAATAAATGTGAAATATTTTTTTCCAATAATTTATCTACTTCTCATAGAGACACTTTAATTCAAAATTTTAATCATATTTGTCCAGGAATAAAAACTGTCAATACGGAATCACTATACCTGCTAGGTGCCCCGTTGTTTTTCGATAGTATTAAACCTGTTTTAAAAACAAAATTTGATCAGTTTTTAAACCACGTTGATAAATTGTATAAATTAAACCCCCACATAGCTCTTACTATTTTAAAATATTGTCTTCTTGTACCTAGATTTACATACTTACTCCGCTCGAGTCCAGTCTGGAAATGTTCGGATATTTTACAAGATATTGATAATAATCTTAAAATTGCTATAGAAAAAATTCTAAATTTAACTTTAAATACAACAGCCTGGGCTCAAGCTACTTTACCTATAAAATTTGGTGGAATTGGTGTGAGAAATCTTTCTAGCGTTGCACTGCCTGCTTTCCTTGCTTCCGTGCATAGTGTCAGTGACTTATGTAACATAATTTTAAATAATAAAGTAGACCTATGCTTTGCTACGGAGGCAGGGCAGACATGGCAAACGCTCTGTCCTGGTGAAAATATTCCACTGGAAGTTAACCAACAAAAACAGTGGGATATTCCGTTAGTACAGGGCCTGCAGAAGGATTTGTTTCATAATTTCCATAGTGACCAAGATAAGGCACGCCTTCTAGCTGTTTCGACTAAGGAATCTAGTCACTGGTTACACGCTTTACCATCAAGTAATCTCGGCACATTACTTGATAGGGAAAACTTGCGTATTGCCGTAGGAATCCGACTAGGAGCGGCGATTTATCAACCCCATCAGTGCCCCTGTGGTAGCAGCGTCGACAAGTTTGGGCTCCACGGACTTTCATGTAAGAAAAGCGCTGGTAGGTTTTCACGACACAGTTCTTTGAACGATGTCATCCGAAGGGCTCTTGCCTCTATAAATGTTCCCTCGGTTTTAGAGCCTTGTGGAATATTTAGAGACGATGGCAAGAGACCCGACGGTATGACATTGGTCCCTTGGGAGAGAGGTAAAGCCCTAGTGTGGGATGCTACTTGCGTAGACACTCTGGCGGCCTCTCATCTCAGGGGTACCTCGTTTAAAGCCGGGGCGGCATCAGAGGCAGCTGAACTGAGTAAGTGGCGCAAATATGAGTCTCTGAGAGATGACTACATATTTGTGCCATTTGCTGTAGAGACTATCGGTCCGTGGGGTCCACGTGCGGTGAAGTTCCTAAAGGAACTCCATCCGCGGCTGGTCGTTGCTGCTGGTGATAAGAGGGCTGGTTCTTTCCTCGCTCATAGGCTAAGTATAGCCATTCAGCGGGGAAACGCAGCCAGCGTTCTTGGCACGATACCGCGGGGAGTAGGACTATATGATAATTAAGTTTCTAGTTTTAGTTTTTTTTTTTTTATTATCATAGTTTTTAATATTATAGAAAATATAATAAGATAAAAATAAATATGTAAATGGATATTTATATAATTATAAATATCCATTTATAATTATATAAATGCGTGTGATCAACACCATGTCGGAGCGAACTGATTTATTTTCATGTTCGCTGAGTGAGCTCAGTAAAATGGCATATCATATTGTATCGTTGGCTACACTGTCGAATTAGGGTACTCACCCTGTAATGATTGTGTATGTTGTATGTGTGTGTAAATAAATAAATAAATAATACACATACAATAACAAAGTGTAAAAAAAATAAAATTACTTTAAAAACAAAATTAAAAATTAAATAATTTTCACACAATAGCTTTTAAGTCGGAGCTAATTGGTGCTAATGTCTCGAAGAATTACGAGTAAAGCCCCGAATTATTTAATCATTATTTGGAAATTATTATTATTATATTGTTTTTGAAGCAGATTTTAATTTTTGAGGAATAGAATTTTGTTGTCTAGAATGTTGTTTATATATTTTACATATTAGTTTTATATTAAACTTCACTTTTTCCACCTAGGAATGATTTTTTTTCTTTTAATTTAAATAGGAAACCCTGAAGCCTAATTAAATTATAGATATATAATTTAACATATACATATTCATCTTATTTAATCATAAAATCATCATTTTAATTAAGCCGTTTCCAAGCAAATGTTTAAGTATACATAAAAAGGTGTCAAATGAAAGAAAAGAAAGAACTACCGGAATAGAAGTGAAGACCCGT